GATTAATTAAAAAGACGTTAATCTCATTTACAAATGAGGGAACTGTAGGCTGGTGAAAATGAAATATGAAAACCTTCTATCCCCCAGCTGGCTGCTTTTGATATTAGGTGGAAAGAGAAGATAAGAATAAACACAAAGCATTACCTTTTCAAGGTCTTATGCTCCAAATAGCATTAAGTGTGGATCCAAGAGTGAAAAATCGGCACAGTACACAAGCTACTGAAAGATTTCAGATCTGCACAAGTTTAATGAAGCTGAATGTATCCCCAGATGGAAGGTAACAATGTCAATATGAAGTCCAAACAGAAGGAAAACCAACAAGCTGCTTAATGTAGCTGTAGCCAAGATAAATGAAAAGGAAAATGTTTTCGGAACAAAAAGCTAAGAGTTAAATATAGGGAATAATCAAGATAAACAGTGGGTATTTTAGAATCAGCTGATTAGTCTCATTCGTGGAAAGATTAAACCATTGAAATTACAATTGAATTAAATGCTAATTTAGGAGTTCATATTTAACAGACCTTTTACTGTTCCACCATGCGATATCTGAATTCTGTAGGTGCAGGCTACTACTGTCTGCATGCATTGTCATTCCTAATTCCTTGCGTCTCCAGGTTTGTTGAGAAGACGTCTGTTAGGAGTGTTCAAGTAGAAACAAAAGCTTTCACAAGCAAGACAAAATTCATTAAACAAAAATTCAGCAGTTCTTTATGTAGTCTAGCTTAATGTGGCATTTTTTCCTGATATTTTATTTGTCTTAAGAACCATTTCTCTGAAGGATTTAGACTTTTGAACTCCTATTGATTTCAGTGGAACTGAGGAGTGTGAATACCCTTCAGCATCTGGGCCTTTTCTGCTCTCTGCTTCCACGCCATTAGTGCTCATTGGTCACCCCTTCATGCTAAGTGCCACTGGTAACCAGGGGCTGTCCTCACTTTCTCTTAGAGTGTTGTTTCTCCCTGGTGTCTCTCTTCTCCCAGTAAAAGCTTGGTGAGGGCTCCTGCTGGATTTTGGTCAACTTCATGCATTTGCATTTATTGCCTTCAGATAGTAATTAGCAGATTCATAGCAAGGTACCACCATGGCAAGAAATCATCAGCAGGTTTTTTCCGTGTGGCTTATAGAATATTACAACTCACGTGAATTAAAACCAGAAAGTGCTTGAGGAAAAAAAAAAATGATACCACATTTATTGGGTGAGTTTATCTTAATCTTATCTGAAGATAATGGTTGTCCTCGTTACATTCTGGTCATGCTTGTACTTTTATATTTGTTATTGAATTGGATCTTCATAACCCACGTGGGCCTTTGAGAGAAAGCCCTCAGAGTTACTGTGTGTGACAGAGTGGAATTTTACCACAATTTATTGAAGGCTGCTACAGGTGTTTTTGGTGGTTCCTGGTGTTCTCAATTGGCAACTTAAGTTCGAAATAAAAATAACATCAGGATCTGGTTTTCTACATTTCGTTTGGATTGCATCAACTTAAAGGACAATGAAATAGTAATTTTGTGACGAGTAAAAAAAACAAGTAAAAATAAACTTCTATACTGGTTACTGACTCAGTTTAAATAGTTGAAATCTTAGTCAATCTGTCTTCATCCTAGTTTTTATACAAAATTCTGATACCTACTTAGTGCTTTCTTCCATCATCTGTGAAAGAATCACAGTATCAAATGCTTAGTAAGTCAGAGTATTTAATAAATATTCCTGCCAACACTTGCATGGCTGAAGTATTTTATCTACAGGGAGAGCATCTTTCTTTCAGTGAGCAATCTTTGACCTTTACCAGGGAATATAGATTTTCTTACAGAATAGTTCTCTGTTAATGAAAATGCAAAATGGCAGGGAACCTTTAATGCACTGCTAACATACCTAGACTATTAAGAGAAAACAGAAAAAAGTGAAAGGAAGATGTGACAACTAGTTTGTAAATTAAAAGGAAGAATGAGAGGAATAGGTTTTGGTTTAGATCTGCCTCAAGACATACTGTACATGTGTAACTGATCGCATGTGTTCTGTAGCCATTTTTCTAGGTGTGTGGAACAGTATAAAGAAATGGGACAGCAGATGACTAGTAAATGCAACAGTTACCACCTAAGTTGGCCGAACTGGTAGATCTGTATGATGAGCAAGTGAATAGAAAATGGATTCAAGGAATAACTGGCAGCAGTATCACAGGTTCATAACAAAACACAAAAATGATGGAAATCTCAAAGATGATTTTGTATTACATTGCTTCTGGGCCCTTGGATTCCAGTTGTTAATGTTGTTCCATGCTCTCAGTCACCTACTAACATGAGAAAAGTCTGGATTTTCTTATTTCCCAATACTGAAATGAGAATCAAAATCTGGAATGAATAGCAAAACAGTAAATCGTGTTTCAATCTCAGTGAAATAATGCATTTTGATCCTTCCTTTTGTAAAATAAATTTTTATTTTATAATGAAACAGTGACTTCTGGTCTAAACAGTCATTTTGAAATCAGAATGTTCCCTTTGGAAAACGTGGGACTGGAGCATTTTGGTATTCTAGGAATACATGATTTTGTTTTTTTTTTCACAGATGAAATGGTATTTGATGAAGCATGTTAATTTAGGTAAGATCAACATTTCTCAGTGCCAGTTTATTGGTAACATGTCTCTGGACAGATTCTTGGCTGGCAATTAGTGTAAAAGTACAGGAATAGCTTTAAACCATTTCCCATAGGCTTGAAGGACCTTTTGCCTTCCCCAGGTTGTACTTTGTGATGATTATTCAAAAGATCTTTTAAAGTTCACTTTTCTAGAGAAGTGCTGAGGAAATTAATAGAATAAAAAAAATTCATCAGCTTATGTTTCCCAGCCTAGTTTGATGTTT